GTCTATAAATAGCCCTAACACAATCTAAAATTGTTTCATTTATACCGTAGTTTTCAAGAACTTTCCATAATAAATTTCTGTTTACTCTATCGAAAGCTTTTTCTTGATCTATGAAAGCGATGTTCATTTGATGTCTGTGTTCTATTGTCTTTTCGCTAACTTGTCTTAAAGCAAAAATAGCGTCAGTACACCCTCTTCCTTTTCTAAATCCGACCTGTGATGGGCTCAGGATCGGTTCTACAACGGATCTAATTTGCTGTTCCAGAATTTTGGCAAACATTTTTCCTACGTGGCTTAGAAGGGAGATGCCTCTGTAATTGTTACAATCTTGCTTATTGCCTTTTCTTTTCCAAATTGGGACTATAAGAGCTCTTTGCCAGTCTATTGGTACAGTTCTTTCATTCCAGGCTTTCCTAAATATGTGGAGTAGCCAGGTGACTCCAATTTCTCCACAAGCCTGTATTGCCTCGGCTGATATTCCATCAACACCTGATGCCTTATTTTTGGGACTGCATCTGATTGCTTCTCTGACTTCTTGTTCGATTATTGTAGGCTGTTCCTCGTTTGTAATACACACTGTATTAACATAGTATAAACAGTAAAAAGATCAAGACATAAAAATGACAAGACGCGCAAACTGCAGGAGAGAAAAGATTACAACAAATCAGAGAAACAAGATCTTCAACCGTCTTGCCGAGTGGAGTGACGTGGGCGATCATGCCTCTCCAAAATCTAAAATTTTTAACATCATCGAATTATGTGCTGGCACACCCCCATATCATGACATAATGTTGTTTAGAATAATCTCGCGGTGTCTTCCTAAAATGCATCTCCCTCCTTCCCCTCCCCACAATCTTTCCGGTGATCACAACATGTTCCAATTTCCTTATTTTATTAGGATATTAAGAAAAGTTATGTCCTTCAGATATTTATGATAAAGTTGTTTTCCAGTCCTCGCCTTCCCCAAAGCATCTTGGTTGCTCTTTTTTTTTTTTGGAGCTGTTCCAGAAATTTTTATGATTATTCAGTAAAACAACATGCGAGGCCTCAAGATATTGTTTGAAGAAAACAGTAGAATTATAACTGACAGGCTATGATTATTATGTTGCTTTGTTCGTTGATAACGCTAACGTCAAACGTTCCTTGAATTTGTACGAGTGTTTTCCTTTTCTAGTAGCTCATAGTTTGTGCTGTGTTTTGTTGGCGTTTGCGACTTTGTGGCTACAATACCTATTTGTAATTCCGAAATACATGGTTCGTTTTAGCTACATGTTATTTGTCAGCAGACCGCTATGTATTAATTTTGACAACGGTATGAAAAGCTGGAAAGAGGGAGGGATGGGGAGGGGTGTGGGGCGTCGTGGTGTAGCGACTAGACTCCTGCCAGCGGATCGAAGATCGTGGGAAACTCGAGTTTTCCGAGACTTTCCGTACATCTCCTCACAGGACAAGAATTCCGGTCCTGCCATAAAGCAAAAGGTATTATTTTATAGAAAAACAATGTTGGTATACAATTAAAAAAAAAATCTTTTGTAAAAGTTGTTTTGCGGCCTTCACAAATATTGAATATCCAGCCAGATAAAAGAAAAGTAAAAGGCATTCGATTTTAGGAGGAATGGGCTGAAAAATATGGCTGATGACAGTGATAAAATATAAGCTTAAAAAACAAAGCAAAAAGATAAATACCTGTATAGTTTAGCTAAATGGACTGGGCAGGAGAAGAGCATTGACCTGATCCCTAATTCTGGTGATCGTGTGAGATGTAAATAGAACCATCTACAATGATTGACACAGCACATGATAATGTTGATTATGATAACCTTTGTATTGCTGTTTATGTCATTCACACACAAAAATACACAAATACCTCAGTGCTCACGCTGTCACCAAGAGACGTGGAATCTTCTGGGCACGAGTGTTGTCCTTTTGTCCAAGCCTCACCTCCGTCGCTGTGTGTGACATCTTCTTCTCTGTGGGCGAGACTAGTTTCATCTCCCTTCAGATGTTTGATTCTGTCCTCCTCTATCTCCTGCTGTTGGACTTGGGTCTCCTTTCCTTGTTCTTGCTGGAGTATGGTCTTCTGTCCCAGCTCTTCTTTGAGTCTTGTCTCAATTTTTCTGCTCTTTCCGGAAGCTGGTCTCCTCTCCCTGCTCCAGGAGTATAGTCTCATCTCCGTTCTCTTCCAAGAATACGGCCTTTACCGTCTCTTCTTGAAGTATAGTCTCCTCTCCCTGCTCTTCCGGTAGTATGGTCTCGTCTCCCTGCTCTTCCTGAAGTCTAGTCTCATTTGGCTGCTCTTCTTGGAGTATGGTCTCCTCTTCCATCATCTGACGGAATCTAGTCTCTTCCATACTCGAGTTAATGATCGTCTCTGTTATCTCTTCTTCTTCTTCTTTTCCTTCTTCTTCTTCTTCTTCTTCTTCTTCTTCTTCTTCTTCTTCTTCTTCTTCTTCTTCTTCTTCTTTTCTTCTTCTTCTTCTTCTTCTTCTTCTTCTTCTTCTTCTTCTTCTTCTTCTTCTTCTTCTTCTTCTTCTTCTTCTTCTTCTTCTTCTTCTTCTTCTTCTTCTTCTTCTTCTTCTTCTTCTTCTTCTTCTTCTTCTTCTTCTTTACGTCCTCTTTTACCGCTTTGGGTTTCTAGGGAGATATACGGTCCTGCTTCGTGCTCTATAGCTATGTTTATATCCTGCTTCCTTCTTTCTATTGACATTACTTCTGTTATCTCTGCCAGCGTTTTATTGACATTCCCGGCCTCGACTCCAATCACCCTCTCGTTCTGTTCAATGTCTCCTTCAACAGTTCCAGTCTCTCTCTCTATAGGATCCAGTATCGTCTAATAGCTTATTACTGTTGTTTTTGCTAGCTTTAGCCGACTCTGGTTGTCGCTTTCTTACATGCTTCTGATAGTGAATCCGTGCCAGTAACAGAACGATGACCAGGAGAACCACACTGATGATGATGGCGACGATGATCAGGTAGAAGTTGTCACTTGCAGCTTAAAAGCACAAAAATAACGATTCAATTTTTGCATACTGAGTCTAAGGAAAGTAATATATATTACATGCTCTGGTGTAAGTCTATTTACTAGTGTCACAGAAAGAGTTGAAAGATTAAAATCGATGCCAAGATATGCGCAAACTGGCTATGACTGATACAGATATTCAGTTGGATTAATATGTCTTGCAATGTGGTGTGTGGAGAAGGAACATTATGACTGCAGACAGGTTAAGAACTCACTACTACTTTTATCGCTCCCTATATATATATAATATCATCATTCATCATCATTGGCACCTTTCCGTCTTTCCAGACGACAGTGTTATATTGCGCTATGAGGAAGCAAGAGACTCACAGCTCATGGCGATGGCGAGTATGACTAGCAAGACCCGCCCTATATATATATGTACAGAGAGAGAGACAGAGAGAGAGAGAGAGACAGAGTGAGAGAGAGACATCATGGAGATAAAGCCTGATATTGATAATAAATCAACAATGGAAGGGGACATTTAAATAAGCGTTACGAAACGATACATGTAGCAGAATTATATGTATGCGGAGACAGACGAACAGCTGTAGATCAAAGGTGTACTATGGAAGAAGGAAACAGAAAAACTATATGTATGCAGAGACAAACAAACAGCTGTTGATCAAATTGTACTATGGAAGAAGAAAATAGAACAACGAGAGTAACTGAAACCAAACTGTCTGCCTGCCTTTGTGCATGTGTACGTGTCTGCCAGTGTATGCCACATTATTTGCGTTTGTGTGAGATACTTCTGAGAACTATTAACATCATGTATCCACTCAGCCGCTTATATGGTACATTATAAGAGCTAATAAATATCAAAACGAGCATTGAAATGGGAAAGAAATGGATTTAGGGATTTGGTATCTAAGAGAAACCCTAAGATGAACGTTGACATGTTCCTAAAGGACTGGAGTGGATTCCATCCATGATATCAAGAGAAATACACAGGAGAGAAAAGTATGCTGGGGCGCCCTACATGGCTTATACCGATACAACATGATGATAGTCATGACTGACCCACCCACCAACATCTCTTGACCTCTCTGTATACCCAGATGGTCGGATTACAAAGTGTGCGTAAGAATCACCTTTAAATAAAATACATAACATAACCCTTGACCCATTAGGGTGGTGGAGGTGTATTAATGGAAGCACTAGTACATAAAACCTGCCATCTTTCTCTGTCTTCTGCTTGATGAATAAGTGTATGATAACTTAGTCCTGTCCATATTCTTATGTTATTCCATGTTCTTCTTTGCCCTCCACTTCTTCGATTACCCCTAGTGTTCCTTGAAAAACAGTCTTTGCAATCGAATCATGTCTCACCACGAGCCCAAACCAAGCTAGCTTGTGACGTTTTACCACTGCCAAGAGAGGCTCCTGATGTCCCGCCAATTTGTATATTTTGTCTCAGACATATTTATTAGTTTTATGTTCTAAAAAACTAATTCGTAAAATGCATCTGTAACATTCACATTCGAAAGCCTGAATCCTCTTTTCTATTCCCACGGTGAGAGTCAAACTCTCACACCTATATAAGAAAATAGACAGCACCAGTGATTTGTAAATATTGACCTTGACTGTGATACTAATTTTGCTCTTTAACATCATATCGAACTGCGACATCGCGGCAGTTGGCATTTCAAGTTCTTGTAATCCATCATACATCTTTACTGGACAAACAGTATGCTTTTTTTTTTTTTTTAAAACTGTCTTTAAAAACTTTTATTCTACCAAATATGAAGCGGTTAAGGAATGAATATACTCACACCTTTACAAGAAATCCACTTGACACAAAATCAATTTATGATAAGAACAGCGTGAAATGATAATCGTGATGACTGCTATGACCTGACTATAAATTACACACCAAGATTCCTTGGAGAACGAACGAAACACCATCTGGTTTTTATTTTTTTACAAGTTAGGAATGAGATCAAAGAAACGAATGATATCCAGAGAATGAAGAAAGAATTTAAGCAGATTCGACAGCTCCTTCCGTCTCGTCTGTGCCGTTTGATGACTCTGTCTCATTTGAATCTGTTTTTGCCTTCTTCTTTGGGGTTCCGTCTTCAGTATCCTCGTCTTTGTCTTCTGCAGGTCGTTTTTCTGCAGCACTCTCAGGTTCTGTATTTGATTCAGCTGCATCTGAACTGGCTTCATTTGTGGTTTCATCTTTTGTTTCCTCTGACTTTTCTTCCTCTGTAGTTTTTTCTTCTACCTCTGGAGACTCTTCGGACTTTGCCTTCACATCTTCCACTGTTTTTGCAACAATGGGCTCTGTGGTGGTTTCTGGTGTCTCAACAGCAACCTCGTCTTTTGTTCCAGGCATGATGGAAATTAAAAAAATGTAAAAAATCATAAAGCGACGAGAGAGAATGAAAACGCGCTGCTAGCTCCACAAAGAGGAAGATGCTTGGTGGTGCCCATCTCCTCTCAAAGTATCCGAATCTGTTTCTATATGTTTATATTCTTCTCGATCTGACCGACCATTTTCTTATAAATCACACTTACTGTTTTAGCAACAGCACCACACAAATACTCACGGCATTCACCTGCAAAAGGACACAGAAAGAAGATATTTTAGCATTCTGTCTCTCACTCACATTTGTTTACCAACATACGTAATACAAATTACATACAAGACAAGACCATATTACAGCAATAAGCAGGGCCAAGTATGAGAGCGACGTTTAAATGAAAATTTTTAAAGAGTGATATAAATTATAACAACCATTCCACTATCTTGTAAGCTGTCTGTATTGTTGTTAAGCATGTCAAGAGTGTTAAGCACGTAACATCATGGTGCAGACGAAGACGACGAAATCATATTGCCAGTTTAGAGACGGTCACCTCACTTTTGACATTTACCAAAAGGAGCTGCGTTTTGTTATCAGTTTTTATCAGAGATGAATTCCACATAGATTAATCTTAAGAAGCTGCGAACTCCAGTTTCTGTGATGGGTAGGAAAGGGGAAAATGACTAGCAATGTGCCAAGAATACTTGTTTTATGTGGTAATTAAAATGTGAACTTTATTTATGTCAAGGTGTACCGGAAATATGGTGCTAGACCTAAAATTGTTCTATTCGGTGAGTTTAGAATTTCACTGCTATATTCCCGTGTTTTAGCTACTGATCTTAGCTATAACAGTGCTAACTATTGAACAAAGTTCATTTTTGGATTGAGCACATATGTGTTCCTTAAAGTTGTCATGTATTCGAATGTGATTATTCAACAGTCTATGAAGTCAGTTCCTGATATTCGTCTGATGTTAATACTATCAGCAACTGACTGACCTACGTTTGTTAACCCCCCCCCCCCCCCAACCTCCCCCTCCCCAGGACACCACACTGAGTGAGCTAGTGTGTATACAGGCGGTCCGTTAGGGGATTATAGTGGAACTAACCCCTCGTCTGTTATGAAAATTTAGATTAATGCCACTTTGAATCCAGTATGTTCGCACCGACAAACAAGCATCTGATCACTGTGCAACTGTGGCTCCATTACGCACCACTACTAGTCATTAATAAATTGAACTTTGATAGACTCAAAATAGGGACAAGCAATTATAATATCGTAGTTATAGAGCGTACAAGCAAATCAATCAATCAATCTATCAGGTGCCGTCTCCGCAATGAAGATTGGCTGCAACAGATCTTCAACACATTATATCTCTTGTCTTAGTCGTACAGTATCTCAGGCTGCTGTTGGTCCATCTCTTGAAGTTGTTTCCCCCCACCCCCAATCGCTGTCTACCTCTTTGCTTCGATGAATATCTCCAATATTTTAATGTGGCCGAAATATTCCCACTGCCTCTGTTTACAATTTCTTTAAAATTATCTCCCTTCATTAGTAGTCTTTCCAGAACCGGTCTATTTGATTACTTTGTTCCTATGGAATACAACCTATTCGTTTGTAAATCCACATTTCCTCAGACTGTTCTATTTTCTAGTTGTCCAGCGAAAGATGATCCAACAATATTAAAGACACAAATACAGGAACATAATTCAAGGAAAACAAATATAGATAAGACAGCATTCTAGCTGGTTTATGAGAGGCAGAAAATGTCATAGACTTACTGATGTGGTGAAAGAAAAACGCCGAACCCTTGCTGACATTTTCGTAGTTCTGACCAGCCTGGCAACCCATAGAAGCCAAAGTGAGTTTGAGAACTGATCCCATCTTCTGGTAAGCCTGTTGGTAATTATAAGCCAAAAACATGGAAAATAACAAGTTGGAGACAGCGTTTGTGTTTAACTGTCGATATAATTTGCTTTATGTTCTTATTTTTAAGTTTAGATTCATAATCACTTCTTCTTCACGTTCACCGGCTTTAAACTCCGGAAGAAATTTCTGGATATTCGTCCACTTCTGGGTTTCAATCTTCTTCCACATCCCGAGAGTTGAGTGCACGTCCATTGTACAAATATGGCTTATTTATATGCAGACTATTGGTTTCTTGAGTCCCGGGCAGAGGCACTCCGATTTTGAAGAAAAACCCTGACTGACTGACTTTCTACCCCACCAGGACATCACACAAGCGATAAACACCCGATGACACAAAGTGCCACCTTGTGGATGAGGATCGCAGTGGAGAGGTCCCAGAAACCGCGTTCAGACAATTGGCCATATTGATGGCCTGCCTATATTGCGGCCCCTGGCAAAAGCCAGAGTGGGGCTTCAAATAACAAAAAATTACGTCCTAAAAAGGACGTAAAGAACGCCAATAATGTGTAAGGAAACCCCTAATGAGTCGACTGTTTTAACACGATTGTTGGTGAGGCAGTGGGCCTATTCTTCCGACCCACCACAATAGGGCCGCGAAACCCATACTGGGAGAAACAGAATTTGATTTTCAAAAGGCGGCGGAAACGAAACAAGATGGTGTTAGTCGGGGTGGCGTCATGGCACAGAGAAGCATTTGTTTACAAAAACGATTGACAACACATCAGACAGAAGGCTGTGGACGGGTGTGATGACAAACTCCAAAACGCACTTTACCTTTTTCGTTACCATAAAGTCCAGCAGGAAATACTCAAAGTGAACAAAGAAACAGCCATAATGAAATCAGTACATATAAAGAAGCAAATATACACAGTTGCGTGGAGAGGCTATCTTTTTTTACAGAAAAAAGTGCATGTGTCCCCTAGATTTATTACAATTACTATGGTTAACTGTGGTTAAAAGTGCAAGTGTGCCCTAGATTTATTACAATTACTATGGTTAACTGTGGTTAGAAGTGCATGTGTGCCCTAGATTGATTACAATTACTATGGTTAACTGTGGTTAAAAGTGCATGTGTGCCCTAGATTGATTACAATTACTATGGTTAACTGTGGTTAGAAGTACATGTGTCTCCTAGATTTATTACAATTACTATGGTTAACTGTGGTTAGATGTGCATGTGTGCCCTAGATTGATTACAATTACTATGGTTAACTGTGGTTAAAAGTGCATGTGTGCCCTAGATTGATTACAATTACTATGGTTAACTGTGGTTAGAAGTGCATGTGTCCCCTAGATTGATTACAATTACTATGGTTAACTGTGGTTAAAAGTGCATGTGTCCTCTAGATTGATTACAATTACTATGGTTAACTGTGGTTAGAAGTGCATGTGTCCCCTAGATTTATTACAATTACTATGGTTAACTGTGGTTAGAAGTGCATGAGTAATTCGAGCACATTCCAGTGCTTGTATTTAAAATTTTGCTACTACTGATAATGTTTTGAAAATGTGTTAACAGATGTATACATGAAATTATGTCTAAAAGGAGATAGATAAGAAGGGCAGAATGTTAGACGGGCCTCTGTGTTCAATTCTAATGCTGCAAAAAAAAAAAATTTGAAAATGAAATCTGTTCTTTCGTTATTATGTCCTGACCATATATATATAAATATTATATATATATATATATATATATATATATATATATATATATATATATATATATATATATATATATATATATATATATATATATAATGAATAGGGCACATTATGCTATCGAGTGAAAATAAGTGGTTGTGACTAGGGCTGTACCGAATAGTGGTTTTCACTATTCGGCCGAATACGAATAGTGGGACCAACTATTCGGCCGAATACGAATACGAATAGTGTATCATCATCATCAGGTGCCTCGCCGACTGGTGTGGCGATTTTGCCTCGCCACAAACTGCGATCTCCTGCAGCATGTATCAGTTTGTGTGCTGACACACCTCCATGACATGCAACGACTGTCAAGAATCTTCTCTCGTTGTCTTTTCTATCTCTCCTTCCACAAATCCTTCCAGTGGTCACCACATGTTCCATTTTCACTCTTTCTATATGATGACTGTCTTCTTCTGATGTCTGCGATTAGTTGTCTTCGGGCTCCCGCCTCTTTCAAAACATAGTGGTTGCTTTTTTTAAGCTGTCCAAGGTATTTTAAGCATTGTTCTGTAAAACCACATCTCTGAGGCCTCAAAAAATTGTTTGGCCTGGCTACCGATTGTCCAGGACTCATAGCCATATGTTAAAACTGGATGTATGTAGCAAGCAAGACAACGATATATTGCACAAAATGTTCTTTTTTTAAAAAATATAAAATGCATTTTTAGCCTGTCCTATTTTGTTTTTTATTTTAGTGATGCATCTTTCATCTGATTTTATCCATGTGCCAAATTCGCATTTAAATCAGTTTTCGTTCAGGCGTTCGTTCAATGTAATTTAAATGCACCTTCATATTCTCGTTTGCAATATCTTCAATTTGATTTGGGAAAAGACACCCCGATAGAACAAAAAATGCATGCTTTCTCTCTCTCTCTCTCTCTCTCTCTCTCTCTCTCTCTCTCTCTCTCTCTCTCTCTCTCTCTCTCTCTCTCTCTCTCTCTCTCTCTCTCTCTCTCTCACACAGAGATACACTTTTAAGTTTCTTCATGCCTTCTTTAACACAACAGTAGCGATGCCTAAATCTTTCGTAGCGGGAAAAACGGCGACCCGTTTGCGTGGTAACAGCACCTGACTCCGAGGCATTACAGCAGAGGTTCTAAAACTGGGTGCGTATGACAGGGGTGCCGCGGCGAAAATCAAGAAAAGTCGACTATAAATTGTGACATTATTAATGAGAGAGTTATTTTAGTCCATCGCAGTGTATGAAGAAATCACTATTCGTATTCGGCCCGACCGCCACTATTCGGCCGAATACCGAATAGCTAGTAGGTCCACTATTCGGCCCCGAAGCGAATACGAAGCGAATATTCGGTACAGCCCTAGTTGTGACACTTATACACCAGTAGTTGCTTGGGAATGAAAGAATTAGGAATAATATTACAGGCATATTGACAACTTA